TTTTTTGAGACAGAGTCTGGCTCTGTCACCAGGGTGGAGTGTAGTGCTGTGATCTCAGCTCACTGCAACCTCCACCTCCTGGCTTCAAGCAATTCTCCTGCCTCAACTTCCCAAGTAGCTGGGACTATAGGCGCACGACACCATGCCCGGCTAATTTTTGTGTTTTTAGTTGAGATGGGGTTTCACCATGTTGGCCAGGCTGTTTCAAACTCTTGACCTCAAGTGATCCGCCACCGTGGCCTCCCAAAGTGTTGGGATGACAGGCGTGAGCCACCGTGCCCAGCCAAAGCAGCATCTTGCTCAGGGACCATTCAGGGCTGCTCGGGGTGCAGTGACTGCCTGAGTCTCACTGGCTGGCGGGCCTGGGCTCCACACCCATGGGTCTCGCTGCCCTGTCTTAGTACCTCTAGGTGGGGACTCAGAGGGTCCATGGGGTGGGCACGGAAAGGCTGACTTGGAGCCAAGGTTAGTTCTTCTCTTGGCCTAGAGCTCATTTGAGGCTGGGCCAAAGGAGGTCCTTGGAAATGAAAATGCTTCCAAAATTCCTGAGTGCAAAGGTGTGGATTATAGACATGCTTCAAGGTGGCGCAAACACTAAACAAGTTTGGTTTTCCAGGGGTTACACGAAGCTTTGTGCCCTCCAGTGCAGGGAATTCAGGTCTGTCCTGGTAACACAATCTTGGGCTCAAAACCAGCTCTGCTGCCAACTGGCTTTTTGGGATTGCCCCCTGCCTCAGTTTCCTCACCGGTTACAGGGGGATTAAAAAGCGCTTAAAGCATTTTTTTTTTTTCTTTGAGACGGAGTCTTGCTACCTGGGAGACCCAGAGCCCATAAAAAACCAGCTGGGCTCGGTGGCTCATAGCTGTAATCACAGCACTTTGGGAGGCCGAGGTGGAGGGAACACTTGAGGTCAGGAGTTCGACGGTGAAACCCTGTCTCTACTAAAATACAAAAATTAGCTGGGCATGGTAGCGTGCGCCTGTCATCCCAGCTACTCGGGAGGCTGAGGGAGAACTGCTTGAACCCAGGAGGTGGAGGTTGCAGTGAGCTGAGATGGCGCCACTGCACTCCAGCCTGGGTAACAGAGTGAGACTCCGTCTCAAAACAAAAAAAAAACCAGGGGACAAGGGCGGTGGCCACGGGGCACAAGCTTCGGGTGCTCACGGCAGGGCAGGACCAGGCCACCCACCTGGGTGTCCCTTGCACGGTGGACAAAATACAGAAGAAACGCTGCAACAGAGTTTATAAATATATAACTATATTTATTTTGAATATTAAATAGTTTTTAAATTACAAGCAATTTGTTCAATCACACTATGCATCAATATACAGTAAAAATCTTACAATTTAAAAATGTACACAATTTAAACTGAAAGTCCATTGACTGTTATATTGCCGTGAACCTCTTTTGCCTGTGTTAAAGGACAGCAGGGAGGCCTGGTGGGTATGGCGGCCCGTGTCCTCCCCTGCACACGGAATCCGACAGTAGATAAATACACCAGTCCCATGATGAAGATACCGGCACATGTCCATGCCCGTCAAACTCATCTTCACAGGCTGTTGGTAATTCAATACTGTCAACACATCTTTAAGAATTTATAGACGAAAGAGAATGTTCTTTGTAAATGACGACTTGAGCCAACCCCACTGCTACTTAGGAATATTGTTTTGGAGATTTCCATTGGAAGTCACTGTGAACACCCCTTCTTTTTATAAGGCTACTTCTCATAAGGCTCATGTTTTGAAGCCCCTCTAACAGAAGCCCAACCTTTGGGGGCGTCTAACCCTTGGTTGACTTCTGAATTTTCAGATGATGGGCTGAGTCGGGGAAGAGTCAGGCAGTGCCTTCCTTCCACCGGGCCCTGGGGACAGACGTGCGGAAGGCCCTTAGCTCTACAGACACCCTACGGAGAACAAGGATAAAAGGAGGGGGTTCGGAAAGGCCTTTTACAGCAGCAAGACATCCCAAGACTTTTCTATCAGATAAACCCATTTCTATAGAAACAATTGAACCTGGACATTGAAAAATAGAATGGATGCTGCCTGCAATTTAGCTTGGTCAAGCTTTCTGCGCCCTGATGATGAATGGCTTCTCGTCCAGACACACAGGCCACCAAGTCGCAGAAGGATTTGGGGAGCACTTTTTCTGTGTTGCCCTTTCTGGCTTATTGACGGGGTCATTTGAAAAGACAAATTAGCATCTAGCTAGAAAGAGAATGAAAGCTAGCTTATTTTTGTTACAGGATTTAAAACGTGCAAACTCTACCAAAATAGAACTAATTCAGATTGATTCTGGGTTGGTACCCACAGAAGGCCAGAAAATATTCTAACCTTCCCCCACATTGTCTAGAGAGTGCCACTGATTTATTTCATCGTACAACTTATTGGAGTAAGTACATTTTGAAAACCCGCCAATGGTAACCAACTTATTAGTTAAAAAACAACAAAAACTGAGCCGAACACAGCACATGCTGACATCTGAAAAAATGGGCTGCAATATTTATTCTACTTAAATTTCCTGGGTATTGCTTGAGATCTCAAAAGAACATGTTAACCCACATGTTGATTATAAATATAAAATCTTCCCCTCCATGCAACACCACAAAGATCCACTACCCCCCCAACTCAATGTAGAAAATGCTTTTTTGACAATTAATTATGAGTGACTCAAAATAAATAAAAATGGGAATTGTGTTGTTAAAATCTTTTTATTTATTTATTTTTGAGGCAGGGTCTGGCTCTGTCACCCAGGCTAGAGTACAGTGGCATGATCTCGGCTCATTGCAACCTCCATCTCCCGGGCTCAAGCCATCCCTCGCCTCAGCCTCCCAAGTAGCTGGGACTACAGGTGCACACCACTATGCGCCCAACTAGTTTTTTTTTTATTATTATTATTTTATTTTTTGTAGAGACGGGGTTTCACCATGTTGTCCCCAGGCTGATCTTGAATTCCTGGGCTCAAGGCGATCTACCAGCCTCGGCCTCCCTGCAATGCACTGGGATTGCAGGCATGAGCCACCGTGCCCGGCCAAAATCTTAATCCTGGTGGAAAATGGACAGTCCCAAAAGGTCAATAAATTTCCTTGAGGCTGACACTGTATAAGAAGACGACAGATTCCATGGATCTGTGTGACTTTGGTCATTAAATCTGAACTCCTTAAACCTGCAACTGGAAAAAGCAGTATAATCACGTCTCATTTCTCCTCAGCCAAGACTAATCTTAGATGTAGAAACTGAGAAAACTCAGGAAGTCCCACAGCAAGAATTAAGAGTCATGACAATTTTGGCAAAATCATCTTCTAATGCCCTGTTACTTTTCGTCTTTTAAATTCACGCATCCTGAGAACTGGTGCACCCTGGACAGCCCAGGGGGGGCGCCGTGTCCACTCCAGGCCTGGACAGAAGGGGACTCTCCATCCTACACTTCTTGCTTTCGAAAGTTATTGCTTTGTGTAAAAAATGAGTGGAGTGGTGCAAAACTGGCAATGAAGTCATCTGCGATGCACACTCTGGCAATGTCCACACCACCTGCATTTTGCACTGGGGTTCGACTTCCTTCTGTGTAGCCAAGGCAGTCCCTGCAGAGGTCTGGAGAGCCACCCTGGGTTGCGCTGGAGTCTGGAAACGTATCAGCACCGGAAATATGTGGGGTGAAGAGTGTGAGTGAGGTGATCGCAGGCCTGAGGAGCCCCGAAGGAACGGCTGCCTCCCCAGCACAGCGTGGCGGCACGGCACCAGCCACTGGGGACTTTTTATGTTGG